AAAAGTAAAATTTCCCTGGGGGGATTAACAAGGGGTTAAAAATTTTTTTGGGAAGGAAACCCCCAAAAAAAAAAATAATTTTTTTGGGGGGGTTAACAAAAACAAAAGAAATAAAACAAAAAGGGCGAAACCCCTTTGCGGGGGGGGGGCCCCCCTTCTTGGGGCCCCCAAAAAACCCCCCGGGGTTTTCGCTTTTGGTATTGGAGAGCCTGGTTCGGGGAAAACCCGGGCATTTCCCCCCCGGGTTTTGGGGGGGGGGGGGTAAAAGGGAAAAAGGTTTCGGGGGGCCCGGTTTTGGGTCCCCCCCCCCCCCCCCCCCCTTTTTTTGGAGGTAAATGGTTTAATTATGGCATGCAGGATTATGGGTCCCCCCCCCCCCCCCCCCTCTTGTAGAGGCAACATATGTGTCAGCAGTATGGGCCAGGTAGATGTGCTAAGATCTCACGATAGCGCGGTATGTGTGTTACGGACAATGCGCACGCTGATTGCCGCTTGATGGCATCCGTCTTCGAAAAATTAGCCACAGAATCCATGTGGGAGGGGTGTCAGGAAATATCAACCATCGAGCAAGCACACGCGGGTGCTCCAAAATTACTCGTGTCGGTGTGACTCCAGCATTTACGTGTCGGTTCGACGGGCTCTTGGTAGGATTGTATGTAGAGGAGGCTCTTGTGTGATGTGCTTCACTCTCGTCGTTTCTTTTGGTCCCTCCCTTTCTTTGGGCAACCGACAAGTCACGAAAAGTCACACTACCAGGTGCGAGAGAGAGTGTTTCATGAAAGCTTTCCTACGCACTTCGTTTTCGCGATTGGTGGTCTGAAGCGAAATCGGCGGCGAAAAAAGCTGGGCATGATGAACGAAAGGACGAACACGGAAAGGCCAAAAATCCCCCCCCCAGCAACTTCTGGGGGGGGGCTTCGTGTCCCGTGCATCCAGGGAGGTGTGGGTGGATACAAGTTTTTCGAAAAAAGTAACGGAGTGACCCAAAAACTAATTAAAAAATCCAAACATACATGTGTTCATTCGAGTGTCTGTCTTCATGCCACTGCAGCAGAGTCTTGTAGTTGTAAACACTGCATAACACAAGCCAGCTCGACCAAAAAAAAAATGATGTACAATTACTGTGGTCTTATCTCCAATGGGTAGTCTTTCTGTGTTTTTCCTAATAATCATTTCTCGGGATATCCTCGAACACCCCCCTGCGCCTTTTCGGTGACGCACACAGGCAGTCTTGGATGCTTACTTTGAGGTAGTTGACTTCCATCAGCCCAATCCTCCTCCATCCACGAAAAGACGGCCGCACGGGAATCCGACAGAAGTATTGCATCTGACGTTGCCAAACCCGGCGCAAAATATTCGCCGCTTCGGGGGAGTGTTCCTCGGACAACACACCCGTGGCCATTCGGCTAAGCCACAAGGTTGGGGGGGGGGGGGACTTTATCGGTACGCCCCCCATTAGGCGTTGACTAGGGTTAGGTAACCTGGGCAAGGTCAAGTACCTGGGCAGGGTTCGGCACGAGCGACCTTTTGGGTACGCCCCCCATTATCACATGACTAGGGTTAGGTAACCTGGGCAAGGTCAAGTACCTGGGCAGGGTTCGGCACGAGCGACCTTTTGGGTACGCCCCCCATTATCACATGAGTGGGGTTGGGTAACCTGGCCAAGGTATAGTACCTGGGCAGGGTTAGGCACGAAAGGCACGTTGCCCTCGTTCCAGACCCTGCCAACGTACGTCAATGGTAACCTGGACACAGTCCGAAACTGGGTAGGATTCGGTATACAAGGAACCTTGGCCTAGGTCCAGACCATGGCTACGTAGGCACAGCGACCTTGGGCTTGGTTATGGGCATGCCATCGTCGCGTCTGTACCACTATAATTGGTAGGCCCAGACCCTGCCAACGTACGCACAGCGACGTTGGCCCAAGGGTGGGGTAAGCAACTTTTTTCTGGGCCGACGCCCTCACTAGGGATACGAGCATGACGTTGCTCAAAACGTTTATTTTCAAGTTGTATCGCAGATCGTGCGGCCGACAAACGACAAGTCACACATGTCGGCCTCTGAAATCGTCAATCGTACAAAAACGCAGAGGCGAAAGCGCAACGTACTCCTCACCCGCCCCCCTCACGGAGCTACGACATGAGAACAACGCGCATACGTTTGTCTCCCTCCCCTCGCGTAGAGCGAAGTCGAGCATAGAACAATACCCAAGGAGGCGTAGAGAGAGAACGGGCCTACATAATCCTTCAAAGACATGAACGTACGGATATGACCTCAGCAAATTGGGCTCAAGACTCACCCCGCGAATGTCACAGGCTCCCACACAAAGAGTCCATGATGGGCACCATCACGCTGCGCCACATCAGAAAGAAAACAGGAACAACAAAAAAGTCTCGCTAAATATGACTACAACAATACCACCAGGCGGAATACAGGCGACAACCGCGCCTGACTTTTACCACGGGGTGTACGAATATAAAAAACCCAACCATGATGCAACAAACTTGGATATATTCTGCGAACGTGTACAGAACATCAAACATCATATATCTGTAAACACTGGTGTGAGTATCTCACCGAAGATAAAAAAAAAATGGCGGAGCTATCAAAGATAAAAGTCCTATTTACTTAATACTATAATCCGGCGGCACGCGCAGTCTCCCTGCTCCTGCAGTA